AAAAAAACTTGCCGCACTAAAAAAAAAGTTCTTTGTGCAGTCATTTTCTCCTCAAAGCTAGCGAAGGTTTTTGTGGGTGACACCTTGCGTATAGCAAGGTGAGAACACTTTCTTTCCCTTCCGTATTCCCACCCCCAACCACAACAATTTTTTTTATTAGAATACATAGGATTTTAAGTTTTCCTTCGAAACTTTTGACTAAGGCAAGTGTTCTTTTTTTTTTTTTGCTTTTTTAAATATTATATTTACCTCCAGCCTAACTCGGACAAATTAGAGAGTTGTAACTTACAAATCCGAACTTTCGCGATTTCTTTAAAGTCCCTTGTGGTATTCACAAGAGCAATGTTAATTAATACTGCTGCGTAACGGGTTCGAACGATTGGGAGGCGAATGTTTGTATCGCATGAGCTTCACGCGCCGGCTGTTCGCTAGTAGTCGTTACAAACCTCAATACTACGCACGAGATTGCGTAGTAAACAAGCAGTGACACAAAGCAGAACATTGTTTTCTTTTTCATTACAAACTTTAGTGTTTGGAGCTAGTTAGTGGTTTTACTCTACATGCCCACCATTCCCCATTCAACAGACATTCAATGGAGCGTGAATGCTCAATCTTCAACACTGCGCTTGACAATGACTGTTTTATTTATTGATCAGGATACTTTTATCATGTTTACCTTTTATGTACATGTACGATGGGCAAAGAGCGATGTCACGGCATCCTTTCAGCCTCGACCCCTTCGCTGACAAGCCACAAGCAACCAACACCTGTAGGTTTCGTTCGTAACTCTCTGGCGAAAAATGATCGGAGCAGAGCTTCGATCTGGGGGTCGACGTCCAAGGCTTTCCAAAGTCCACTCGTCGAACAGCGTCCACCCACACCTTCTCCAATTTCCGATCCGTTGGAAACTTGTGAAAAAGCACCTCCGGGTTGCGCAGCGGCTTGTTTGAGCAGCCCACAGCGCTTTAAGTTGTACTCGGCATCTTTCGAGGAACAGCTGGGCAGTCTTCGGCGGCTCCGAGTTGCTCGCTAAAACGAGTCTAGGAGTCCTCACAAGCAAATAAACAAAAGGCTATACGGAAGCTACACGGGCTACAGGTAAAAGGAACGGCTAAACACGCAATTACAAGCCGAAGTAGCGGTGGTAGCGGCACAAAGAAGCGCGCGCGACGGCTGCGCCGTGCGCCCGTCCGGAACGGAGGAAAAAAAGAGAACGATGTTGACATCACGGCCCAATGTTGCTTTAGCGATCGGCAACCCGCTGGCCGCCCGCTAAGGAGCAGCGGCTCGCGGCGGGTCGCGTTTTTATTATCGGCATTAGTTGAGAATGCGGCGTCCCGCGGACGTGAAATTTTGGCTGGGGTCGTATTTTGTGTCCCTACAGCGATACCAGTAATTTAATTCATTTTGAGTTTTGGCCGGAGTTGCCCTTTAAAGGAGCTGTGCAACAATTTCAAGGCTTTGCTTAAATAATTGTGGAAGTTGATGCCTGACACTTCTGCAGTGAACTACAGAAAACAGATTTTGCCTGGATACCCTAGTTTTTATTTAAAAAAATGAAAAAGATCCAGGTTTTTGCCACCTCTCAACTCGTGCATCGTCTTCCGGGTCACGTGGACAGTGACGTCACTTGAGTAGGCGCGGAGTTCCGGAAAAGTTTTCTCTTTAGAGCCATCAGCGAGCAGCGAGAACTCATCCGCTCGCGCCCGCTTGACCACCCGTCCTTGCCCGTCCGGCGCTGTCCCCCTCCCCCTCCGGCTTCTGGCGGCTGTTCGCGGTTTTGTGGACCTAGGATAGATGGCGCCACTAAAACTCCGTATAATAAAAGTTTTGTCGATGATACCAGGGTTTTGACTCGTTTATATATATGTTGGAACGACAAGATTTATAAAAAAGTTACCTTTTATCGGCAGGTACTCGTACAACTTGCTATCTTTCTTACAACTACCCAAGTGACGTCACGCCGCTTGTTTCTCATGGCCGCCGCTCGTGGCTGCAGGTCGGGAAATATTTCAAGTTTTGTCTCGCTATTACGCGGCGAAATCGCAACATTTCGATGAAAGGAGGTGTGTTTTCTGCCATTTGTGACACAGTGAACAATATCAAAAGCAGAAAATGCCAATTCTTTCAACGTTAAAATCGTTGCACAGCTCCTTTAAGGCCAGTTCAGACACTTGCGTTCGACTGCGGTGCGTTCGGTTACGGAAGCGCGACTGCGGAACGATGCGGAGTGCGCTTGCGGATGGCTTGTGCACACAGTTGCGTCGAAGCGCCGTCCGCCGCAGTCAAGAACCAATAGGAGCTTACTATCGGCTCTTGCGGCGCACCAATCGAAACTGCGACTTGCAGCGAATGAAGTCAAGCAACTATGCTCACAACGAACATGGCAACGTCCGACGGTAGCGTCGGTATGGCCGCGACTCCTCCGTGTTCGTCGGGGTTGTCGAGACTGGAAGAAACAGAAAACCTGAGGAATCTCTTCCTAGACTGCGTGCGGGATACATTGCACAGGCGGGCAGTGAGGCGAACTGGCCCCTGGTTGTGCGGGCTACCGCCGCGACGATTATGCTGCAGCGGCGACGCCACCCCGGCCGCGAGCGGGTGCTCTCACTCCTGCGTTCCCGCGAAACTTTCGGGGAGTACCACCATCTGGTGCGCGACATGCGCCTGGACAACGGCCAGGACTTTTTTCAATACTTCCGTGTGACGAGGCAGAGATGAGTACGTAGAAGAAACTTTAGAAGCAGACGAAGAAGCAGACGTCCCCGACCGGAAAAACGGGACGAATCGGATGTAGTTGCCAGCGCCGCGCATGCGCTTCGGCGTTCTTTTTTTCGCGAATTGCGATTGGTCCACCGCAACCCACCGCGCGCCCCTCCGCACTGGAAAGTTTAGCCTGGCCCAACTCTGCTGCGGTGCGTTGCGGAACGCCAAGCGTCGTCGGTTGCTAGGCGACCCGCTGCTGCAGTCGACCGCAAGCATGCCGTTCCGCACTGGAACGCAGTCAAACGCAAGTGTCTGAACCGGCCTTTAGTCTCCTATCAGTTTCTACGAGCGCGGATAGATCGCGCTGCAATGCAGTTGGGCCTAGAGTGCCTTCATACACACGCGCGCTTTTGCTTGAGTGGTGACATCTCAGCCATTTTTCCGCCCAATCGTTTTTTTATGCATTTTGAAGTGCGCGCAATCCGGTGTCACTCAGCTCGAGCGCGTAGCTTTGGCTGATGCATAGACGCCATCTTACCGCCCAAGTCACGCACCGAGTGCGCGAGAGCGTCACGCGCTGGCACATTCCGGATAACAATGGATGTCTTCACCCTGAGACAGACAGACATCTAGGCACCCTAGTTGGGCCACCGCTCCCGTGTTCCAATTACTTCTGATCGTGACTATACGTCTTGGTAAAATAACATAAAGCTATTCTAAGATGCACCTACATATATCTTAATTTAACGCAGGAAGGGGAAATTAGTAACGTTCCGAGTTCCGGTTCCTTTGTTGGTACTTTTGAAACAGTATAACTAGGAAGGCAGCCTTCTACACATCAGTGTTGCAATGTCGCAGATCACATTTCTTTTGTTATTAGATATTTATACTTTAACTAGGCATGTTTTTGCATCAGTGCTGTTATCAAACATGTAAACCTCTTTTTTTTTTCTAGGCATGTTCTCGTATTTTGTATTTTATGCATTGTGTTCTAGCATGTACGCACTTCGGTGCACCCTCTTGTAGGCTCTTGGGTTGTTGAGGGGCACCGCAAAAGTAATAAATAAATAAATACGGTCTTTTTTTTTTTTACTATGCATCCTGAGGTGAATACGAGTATTGTGAGGCGTTTGGCCACTCCCTCCCTTTCGTAAAGCTCTCAGTGAAGATAGTTGCTATCGGCTATTTGAACACCCGTGGACCTGTGCACTGAGCACTTGTTATACGAACCCTTTGCGCCCCTCGTGCGTTCGTTTAACCGCCAAATGCGCCCGCGCGCTTTTTTTTTTTATCCTAGACCTCAAGCAGTGAGAACACGAGCTTGGCTGCATCGTCATTGCCCATACCCTGCGTGTTCTCGCTGCGTTGTTCTTTTGATCGGCGCGCCCAATTCCTGCGCTCCCTCGAGCCAAAGACGTATTTTGACACAATTGCTTGCTGCATATGCGCTGGCACGCTTTTAACTTAAAACACCTTCTTGGACTATCCGTCATTGCCTGCCTTGAGGTGTACCCGTTATCCTTCCAATCAGAGCCAATCATAGTTCGGCCTTCTGGCGTCACCGCCACTGCGGCGCAGGAAGCAGACGAACTTGCGCTTCGTATAATCAGTAAAGGCTTAAAAAATGCGGGACGTGGCGTGACCCAAGCATATTGCTGTTATTTCGCAGCCAATGGGATTGGGGCATCTGGTAATAAGAGCTAAGAAGAAATTCCCAACGAAGGAGCCGGAAGATAATGAACCCTATCCTCCGTTTGTTAAGCTGCCAGTCCCTATAGCTAGTAATCGAAGGATTACTGTGGCTGGTTCCTCATACTTCAAGTTCAGAAAAAAAGATAAGAATAAGAAAAGAAGCACCAACAGTTGTTTCTATTTTTTTTTATTATTCTCTTTCAATCAATGATGGTGATCACTTTACTAACTCGACAACGTGCATACGTATTGTACTTTTGATGTTGCGCGTTGATTGCTTTTTCCTTAATTTTGTATTTTTGCGAAGAGCGCGTATTTGTCTGTCATGCGCAAAATACAACATCGTGAAAAATGCTGTTGATCAATTTAGTCTGCCTCAGACATGAAAAACGTTGTGTAAAGTTTTATTGTTCCACTTAAAAAAAACAATAGTGGTTGCACAACTTTTCTGGCTTCTCTGCCGTTCCAATTTTACGGGAGTATGCTAATGGTACCTTTCGGAAACCCAAGAGCTCTTCACCAGTGCATGTCACAAAGCATACGCGATGTATGAAATGATGTATATTGTGTAGACATATTGACCGGGACTGAATCTTTGAATTTCAAAATGAAACATTCAAAGCCTGCGTTGTGAACCTCCAAGGTTGAGAGAAGTCGTCTTGATGAACCACCATTTCAGGTCGTAGTTGGTCGATAGAAGCGCAGCCTGAAAAAAAAAAAGAATAAAAATAAAATTAAAATAAAAATGAAAACGCATATTTTTTTTGTTCCAATCCTTTTCGTATAAAACATATTGTACTCAATGTTACCATGAACTTCGAAGCAAGGGTAACGTTTTAAGTACATATCTGCTGAAGCTATATACAAAATAATATATATTGTTAGCATGATGATGCCGGCAGCAGAAAGGACAGTAGAGGAGGCAATGGTTGAACACAAAGGATTGAACAAGGCCCGGCCAGCACATGGCACTTAGCGCGAGATGGTCGTGCGTGCCACGGCCCCCTTCGTCGGCATCTCCTTCCTCAGAATATTGCTACCAGTATCTATCCCTCGTTCTTTCTTTGTACAGGAAACACCGAAGTTTCATGCAATGCTGTTTTTTGCGTAATGCTCTTATAGTTAGCATACTTTGCGCAGTGCTGGTACTAGAGACAGAAAATCGGGCCATTTACTGTAGTGTTACATAATCATAATACAACACTCACAGCCCATAGAAACTGCAGAATAATTGTATACAATCCGTACTTACCTTGCATATATGTTCACATGAGGCTAAGAGAGCATTTTGTTCGGTTTGCAAGCTGCTTCCACAGCCCGGGCTAGCGCAAAAAGTCAACGTATTTCAAGCCCTTCGAAGTTTGTTCTAGCAGAGTTCAGACATCGGGAAGTAAGTCTGCTCCAAGGAATGAGTAATTCCTATATTGTAGATGAGAAATTAAACCAGTGCAATACGACTGCTAGCCTGGGGTCTTTAAAGGGGCGGTGCAACAATTTGCGGACTTTGGCTAATTAATTGTGGGAATTGATCCCGGCCACATATAAAACGAAGGACCGAAAACTATTATTTCCTGCTTGCCCTAGTTTTCATTAAAAAAAATAAAAGAAATTGGTATCTCTGGCACCCCTCAACTCAACATTGAAGCGGCACCAGCTTCGCCTGTGACGTCATTCGGAGTGGCGTTGGTTTCCGGTCGGGTGCTTCTGGCTTCCGTTTCCCCAGCGCTCGCCGGCTCGCCAGGCTCGCCGCTCTCCCGCTCTCCCGTCGATTTCCGACCAACATGGCGGCATGGGCGGACGGCCTGAGCGACGTCGAGCGCGAGATGCTTGCGTATAGTAAGTCAGTTGGACTTGTGCGGCGGGCAGTCGACGCGGCGGGCAGTCGAAGTCGAGGTCGAGACACCAGGAATAATAACGATACCATGATACTACGGACCACGACCAACGCACTTCGTCGAGCGAGGGAAAGACGAAACGTCCGGGTTGCTCGTGTAGCCGCCGTAGGCGCCTCGGGCGTCGACGGATGACGGCGACGCCAGGTTTGGTTGACTTGCGGTAGATGGCGCCACAAATCTTTTAGCGGCAATATTAGGCTTTTGAAGCGTTTCTGCATGCCTAAACAACAAGATTTTTTAAACTTACCTTAAATCAAGCTTACAATTGCCTAACACTATCACTTAGAAAAACCACTCCGAATGACGTCACACCACAGGTTCCATTTGCGGCCACCATGTGGCCGCCGGTTGGGAAAAAAAGCGTTTTTTATTTTGCGATTACGCAGCGAAATAGAGGTATTTTGGGGTATGGTGGCACTTTTTCTCTTACTTATGCCGAAGTAAGCAATATAAAAAATACAAGCTGCGCATTCTTTCAGTGTTAAAATCATTGCACCGCCCCTTTAAGATTGCGCCATCCATGCGAGCGTAGTGACGCACTAAAACATCCCAGTAGGATACTCATCAAAAACGAAACGGCCAGGGTTGGGGATTAAGCACGTGGACTTCGGGTTCTGCGGCGCGAACCTTTTATAAAGCCTTCATCTGGATCAAAGCTAAAGCTAAATAAAGCGCAGTTCTGCTCTCAGGCCGCACTAGTAAAATTGAAAGGACACGTTGCTAATACCCACACAAAAAAAAAACATAGATGAAACATGATGATCTAAATGTGCCACTCGACTAATCAGTGACGACTTTCTGTTCCACTCGTGACATGGGAAACATCCCTCACCCATGAGTGCGAGTGCCCGATCCAGCTCCTGTCTCAAGATTTCGAGCATCTCTCTCACGCCTTCTTCACCCTGGGAAGACAGATTTACATCGAGATGTTAGAGCGCTATGGTATGTTTATTGTTACTCTTTTCTTGAAGCTTTGGGCAGTGCTAAGCCTAAAAAATATCCAACTGCCCTTTAGTTCGCAGAAAACTGAAAACTAAGAAAAGCCGGCAATTTACTAGACGTATTTTGGCGGTGAAAAGACTAGTTATAAAGCGCGAGACACATGCGCGTCAGAACTGTCCGATCCGGCGTGCGAACTGTCGGGAAGATAGCTGCTCAGAATCGCCGCACAGGACGGTTCGCGACACATGGTTTCCGACGCGTCGTTGCGTCGCTCCGTTCAGCTCCGCCCAGTTTCGGGTGTCCCTCTACCAAATGGATGGATGGATACTAATGGCTATAGTTATAACGGGCGGTAGCTCGCGCCACCTAGCCTAGAAAACTAAAATACTTCCCTCGCCCTTCTTGGTTTTTCTGGCTTTAACACAAACATAATATTTTTATTACCTTCTATTAAAGTGTGCGTGTGTGAAGATTTTCCGTGAGGCTATTTTGCTGCTCAAAATCACTTAATCGCGAAGGACCGCAGCGGACCTTAGAGCCATCCCAGCGAAACGAGCACTGCGTAAAAATCACGTGACTACGTACCGCGCACATAACTGCGTCTCTCCCGAAGCTCACATGACATTAGAATGGCTCGTAGCGTCCGCTGCTGTCCATCCTAAGGTGAAACGGTGTATATTCGGGTTTCGACGGGCTCGATCGGTCCCAGAAGGCCGGCTTGCTTTGGCGCGCGAAATCAGCAGCTCGTTTTGTACGCGCGGGAAAACTCGATGGCGTCCGTTTCCTTCACAACGACGACTCGCGTCGCGTGACGCACCGTGCACCGCCACATCCGCTTCCCCGAACCACGTCGCGCCTCCTCGCCCGATCGGTCCGAAAGTCACTTGACAACATGACCTTCGCCATCCGTGCTCATTGGCTGCGGCCAATGCGGCCTTCCGAAAATCGGACCGTGCATGCGGCGATATCTGGCAAGTTGGACGCACGCCGGCGCCGGACGGAGGCCTCGTCCGACGCTCCGGTGCGACGAAAACCCTCGCCCTCGGACGTCGTTCCGGCGGTTCGCACGTCGGATCGGATGGCTTTTTCGCGCATGTGTCTCGCGCTTAACCTCAATATCAATACGAGGGATCCAAACAATCGTGTTTTGAACACTGCATGTGTTTAATGGCTGGCATCTAAAAAAAATGTAACGCCCCCCCCTCCCCCCCCCCCCCCCCCCCCCCAAAAAAAAAAAAGAAAAGAAGAAACATTTTTACGTATTTGTTATTTTTAGCGGACTTATGTTTAGTCAAGTTTAAACAAACGTATATTTTGTTAAAGTTGGTGGCCGAGACATCGCCGCTAAATTTATTTTCCTTCCACCCTAAACCAACCCCAGAATTTCAAAACCAAAGTAAAGCGCGCAAGTCCAACGCATTCTGCGCATAACGGTCTTATCATTAGGATGAAGGTAGTCGGCAAAATAAATGTGGCGGAAATTACAGAAAAATATTACTCCGTCTAATCAGCATATGATGTGTCGATAGTATGGAGGATGACTTACGTTGTAGGCCAGCGCCCAAAGAACCGGGCGCCCAACGAACACTGCCTTGGCTCCAAGTGCCAGCGCCTTGACTACGTCGGTTCCGCGGCGGACTCCGCCGTCCACGTAGACCTCGACGCGTCCGCGGACTGCAGTGACAACCTCAGGGAGGACTTCAATCTGCAGCATCCAGAAAAATACGGAGCTTACTTCGGAAGGCTCAAAAATTTAAGTTCTTAAACTGCCCATGAAGACGAAGACGCTCCTATTCCCGAAACGTCACATTACAGCCCATGCATGTTCTCGGGCAAAGTCACGGAAAGATAAGCTGAAGCTACCTTGCGACGACCGAGAAAAAACCAGGGGCTCGCTCCGAGGCGAGAAGCTCGGTATGTAACCTCGGCGCAGGCTGTAGCCCTCTTCACTGACACCCATTCCTTTCAAGGTGTCAGCAATCGACAGAGGCTTATTGCGCACAAGGCGCCGTGTAGCCAATATTTCGGTTTCAGGGCAAGAAATAACCAGATGGTAGAAATTACTCCTCAGACCTTTGCCCGTCGTTGGTTTGGAACGCAACACCTTAAAATTTTAGTTCTTTGCTGATCAGGTCGTCAGAGGGGAGTGCGCTTTGAATGTTTTTGTTTTTTCAAGCTAGCTGAACTTCGCGTGCTCGGCCTCTAGGTTAGCGCTCAGTCGTCTTAGCTTATGGTTTTCATGAGTGTTCTTGCAAGCACGAGTCACGGGAATTGCAAGGAAATCCACAATGCATAACGAGAGATGTTCAATGTGACGTACAGTTGCTGGTACACCGTCCAGCTGCCGCCCACCATGGTTGGAGACCAGTATCGCCGAAACACCGCAATTTATTGCTTCTTCAGCATCTTCGGCTGTGTTGGAAGGAAAGCAATCGTCCCATTTAAAATGATCCGTAGTTTGAACGCCTATTTGTTTATGGCAGCTAGGCAAGGCTAAGTGAACACGTAGAATTATTTCCATATTAGCAGATAAGTATTGAGAAGAAAAGATATGGCTCTCGAGATTTTGCATAGAGAACTAGGAATTTTACATGCCGCCTTTTTTCACGATCAGAGCCAACATCGAAACAATCTGTCGTAACTTTTAAAGCAAAAAGTTTTGAAAGGTGACTGAAAAGCACTTCGAACGTACAGCCGCAAATTGTGAGAGTTACAGGTCCCTTCTATCGTCACTATTCACAAAAAGGATTGGCATATGACACATTCGATAGTGTCATGTACCTAATGGCTTCATACATAGGAAACTTCTTTTTAGCTTTGGCATGCTTTTTGGGTATGAATTTTATACATTCCCTAAAAGACATCCTTTTAAACACCCCTACCCTTTCTCCTTCTCGGGTTGTTGCTACCATAGAGATATTATACCCATTTTTGCCGCATTGATGTCTAACAGATATCAAACTTAAATTCGAAACACAAACCGTTCTTCATTGCGTCAAATGTGAAGCAGCGTTTGCCTGCCACAATTTTTAGCGAACTTTTCTTTCGCGCTGAAAGTCGGCAAAAAAGATCACACCCCAAACACGTTCGAGCCCAACTGGGACCACTTGAGAGTGGTCGCAATCAGACCGAATTCGGTAGTTACCATTGCAAATTCCTTTAGCGATTACGGGGAGCTTCGTAATGCTCTTCAGCCATGTAACGTCGTCCCAGGTCAATGAGGGATCTAGAAATCCCCCGTACGCGTAAGCCTTGTTCGGAATTAATCCGGCGAAGCTGAAAAAGAAATGCGATAAGGATTTTCATTTTGTGCTTGCTCATTTTACTAGGCGATTGTTGTAGTTTCTCGATGCTTGAAGCAGAAACACTAATATTGCTAAAACGTATTAATGTTTACCAGCGAAATCCAGGGCTAATAAACGCCTAAAACGCGAGCGGTTTAATTTAAGTTGCACTTTAACCCTGCAAGCATGCCTTTGGAGTGGGGATCGGACAAATTAAATTTAGCGTTTTCCGGAAACTTACTCTCTTAGGCGAAAACAAGCAAACGAATACTTTTCAATACTCAATGAACGCAGCTTATTGATCACAAGTTGTTTACACCTATTGAAATTATCTCCTTAGTTTGCATTCATGTTGAAATCTACTTTCTAGCTAAAAAGTCTGACAGCGGGCAGTGTTTTCACTGAAACCAACTCACCACGACTGACTTCCTTGGGGCTAAATGGACATCATCAATCAAACAATATTCTCCAGTTTTGCCATGAGCAGCCCCGATAGACTACAATATCCTGCCAACCTTCCACACAAATACAAGCATGACGAACGGGCTGGTGCCATATTCGTGCAGGCTTATGTTTCATACGACTGAAGCAACTTAGACAGGCTTGCAATTGCACCTGCTTCCTTCCACGAGTTCAGGTGTGATGGATACGGCCTGATGCTCCGCATGCGATCATGCGCACGCCTTTATACATTCGAAATGATACTAGGTTTGATGTCTGGAATTTAAAATTTCGTAGTGTATATTTTATCTCACATACATCTACGGTGGTGACAAATCCTAATGCGCGAGCGCATGGCTTTAGAGGGGCCATGCAACGATATTCGCTCGGAATGTTTTTGTTTTTTACCTTACACGTCTTACTGACACTATTGGGACCCAAGTGTACTCGCACGCAACGTCACTGACCGAGAAACTTCTTTGTTGCGTGTAATTTCATGAACAAAAGCGAGCGTTTTTTTTTTCAATATGAAGACAATGACCCACTGCCAAACGCGTACGGGCGGGCGGTGGGCTACAGTGCGTCTTCGGAGACTCCGAACCAGAGCGGCCGTCTCCCCGGCAGTCCGGGCTAAGTTCGAGAGATGTGCGCTCAAGACAGATGTAGAAAAAGAACGCGCTGACGACGGATCTTGTAGATGATGCACAAATGAACAACAGGCCACAAGTGCCCATCTCTTATGGGACTGTGTGGAGATCAGCCGGGCGTGGGAAAAAACAATTCGAAAACTGCAACCCAAGCTGCGCCCGCGATGCCTTCGGGACTGGACACACCCGAGGGGCGCACTGCAGAACCGCAAAGCCACATTAGACTCGCTGCTTGACTTTGTCGCGACAGCAAACATCCAGGACTCCATCTGATTAGTGACATTTCTGGTACCCCCTCCCTATCCGTACCCCATTCCCCCACCCCCTCTCTCCGGCGTCAGGGGACAATTGATTAGAAAGAGTCGTACGCGCTTTGCTTTTTTTTTTATTAATAAAACAAGTTAAATCAATCAATCAATCAATCAATCCCTCACAAAACTTGAAGACGTAGTTTGGAGGTTGCAGCGTCCCCCAATGAGGCCATTATAGTCCCCTAGTGACGATACTTGAATATGGCTCAAAGATTGGGCCAGAGCATTGCATGAGCACTCTATTTGGGCTCGTGATATTCAATACCTCTACAAGCATTCGGTTATAGTGGCTCGTGTCCAGTCGCTCCAATGACGACAATAGCCGAACCATAAAAATGTCTGGAACCCTGCGCCTGTCTTGTGCTTTGCCAACCCTAACGCGTGGCAATGATCATCACTGCCGGCATATAATCGACTCCAGGCCACCTGGCCACTTATCTGGCTGCTAGTTGAGGGCGTGTACGCTGCTTGTTTTTATTTAATATTTTCCTGTGACTTCTATTGCGTGTCGTGAAGAACGAACACGTGTTTCGTAGGTAATTAAAGTCAGGGGTTCGTTCTAAGTTGTATTTGCGCAAAGTACGAAAATCGTTGCATCGCCCCTTTATATGCGCGAGTTCTCGCGATAACACATCGTTCTTGCTGACCAATATTCACATCCCTCTATCTTTCTCTGCACTCTGGAGATTTCGGAGATGGAATATAGGTGGCCTTCACGACGCAGCAGTATATTGTATAGCAAACAACAGAATCCAATTATGTTGTTTAGACCTAACACAATCCGGAGACAGCAAGAAGCAAAAGGCGACAGGCACAAAAAAGTCGCGTTTGCTTTTTTTTTCTTCTTTAATCTCGGGGTTGTGTCATATCTAAACTACACCAGCTAGTTTTTACGCCCTCACTTTCTGTTCATTGTGTCTTTTTTCCCTTTTTTTTTTGTTAACCGCACGCGGGTAGCAAAAATCAATTCAGCAACTTTGGTACGCCCATCTGACACGATATAGAAAAAGTGGTTCTATGGAGCCGATCGTCAATGAGCTAACTGTGTAACGTCACTAAAAAGATGCCAAAGTCTGTCGAACCTTATATCAATAAAAAATTTTGTTTGGTTTCGTTATACTATTTTGCCAATATCGGGGTGTTCAGTGATTCTAGGTTTGACCATTTCGGCCTGATTGAGCTAGTTGTTACATATTCGTAAGTCACACCTACAAAAATACAATATTTTCGGTGAGCCGCGCACAGGGAGCTTGTAAGAAGAATTTTAGCGGGTGACAAACTTAATATTTTTTGTACATTTTTTGACAACTAATAGGCATTTTGTGTTTAGCTGAACAACCTGTGATGCAAAAACCAATTACGCATCTGAATGAGTGTACTAAAGCAAATTTGTTAGTCAGTCGTTTTGTCCTCTTCTGGCCATTCTTCGTTTTTCTCTATAAGTTCAAACTGACCCTTACCCAATCTGATAAGTATATATTTCTGGCGCAATGTAATTAACTTTACGTTTCAACGTACTTAGCAACCTTCGGCGTTTTGAACTTGTTTTTGATACGGGCAATTTGCTTTCCGGCGATGGGCATGTCAACTGTCAGTACAAGGGCCCTGTATCCGGCTCTTTCGGCGCGTTCCACAATGTCTCTGGTGATGCTTCGGTCCTTGAAGATGTACAACTGGAGCCACTGGAGCCCGTCCGGTGCTGCCTTCTTCACGTCTTCGATAGTGATGCAGCTGAACAATCCCTGCATCAGAAGGGTTCTTGCACTCTGAGCAGCTGGACGGGGGAAAGAAGGTGGTGCACTTTGGTTCACTGTCGATCATAAGCTGTTAGGCTGCAAGATGAGCGTCACGCGCTTGCAAAACTCGCGGTAGCCACCCGCGCAAATCCTTACAGCATTTGATTGCGCTACCTGTAGCTTGGAGCACGTAGGCTTCTGTCACGCTGCTAATATCCTATCGTGCATCAGGCAATTTTCAGAATGTTTTCTTGCGCAAACTGAGGAACGCTACTTTTTAGCAGATTACGGGTACGGGTTAAAAGGTAGCATGAAAGTGTTCCACCCCTAACTTTCTTGGACTTCAACGCCTCGCCGCATGCACTAAAATTAAAAATTTTAACTCAACAACCAAAATTCCAATGTTCCCCGGGAATATTTTACGAGGCAGAAATAAAATCTCAATTTGCTGTAATTAAACTTTTGGAGGCGTATATTTTTTATTGCAGTGCTTTACGAACGTCTTTTTTTTTATTGAATTCTATGGGCCACGTTCACAAAATTGTCAAATTCTGCTTTTCTCGACAAAAAATCGTAATTTGCTCGAGGACTGTAATTGCCTGGGTATCATTTAACAAAATCAATTAGAATTTTGATACTTTCTTGAAAAAGGTCTATTCCATGGAGTGTCCCGGGAAGTTGGCCATGCTGCTTGATTAAGGCTCCACAGAAAGAAACTAGATTACGTTTATAAATTCCTTTAGTTATATATATTATATATTATATATATATATATATATATATATATATATATATATATATATATATATATATATATATATATATATATATATATATATATATATATATATAAAAACGAAAGACATTAAGGTGATTTCTTGTTTACGCCAACTCTGTTGTACCATGCGAGTACTCTGAACCACAAGCTAACTCGTATCCGTCGGAATCTCTCGTTATAGATTGAAGAAAACAAAAACGCTCAAAATGCCAAAAAGACACGATGGATGCGGCACGGAAGATGCCTGTGCCGAGACATTGATTTTCTAACCCCTGGCGGTGGCGGTCTCCCCGTCTCGATGCGCCAGATTCTGGAAAGCTGTTGGCGAGATTCCAACTGGCATGGACACCACTTGATCCTCCAGCAGGGTTACCTCCATGTTTCTCTGGGCCACGTCACGGAGTACCCTAGGCCTTAGGCGTAGTCTAAGTACGCGGGCAAAAGAACGAAACGTTTGGAAAATAGTAAATATTAAGGTGGGCTAGTTGGATATGCATATATTACTAATAAATAGCGCGAAGGTCAAGTACACACTGACAGAGAAGACGCTAGACAAAAATACAAAAACAAGTACGAAGGACAACGCCCGGCTGTGATGCCCTACATTCACCGGGTATCACACAAAATAAAAACGCTGGCTTCCAGATCTGACATCCCTATTGTATTTTAAGCACCAGACAATCTAAAAAAAAACTTTGTTCTAAGGAAAATTCTCTTAAGGAACGTCACAATGAATGTGGTCTGCAACAGAAGCAAACATATATACCTTGCCAAAGTCAGGTTATGTATGAAATGCTTTTCACCTGTGGCAGAATATACATAGGTCAGTCAGGCCGCGGAGTAAACACCAGGTTATGAGAACGTCCTTCTTCACTCAATTGAACACCAGCGGGACATCTCGGAGCGCACATAAGAGACTGTAACTGCGAACCGATACTAACAGAAACAACGGTCGTTGGAAGGTACCAGGAGAAAATATCTAGATAACTATACGGGGCGATGATTATCAAAGAAAAGAAAAACTCGTGCGTCAGTGCGCCAACAATGGTATTAACGGACAAATAACTTAATTAAGTTTACCTTTCTACGTGAGGCTGTTTCAGTGGATTACTGTCAGCAACTTCTTTTTCTTTCTTTCTGACATTTCCTAGTAATTAAAAAAAAAAATTAACTTCCTTTTCCCATTAAGGCAATTTTATTTTGGGAAGGTTACTACATGCTAAAAGGAAAGAAGAGAAAGGAACGTTACTTCTTTCTATTCTTCGGTATGAGTATCAAAACGACAGTTGTGAGTTAGCGCTTGTTCCGTCAGTGTGTACTTGACCTTCGCGCAGTTTATTATTAATGTTCAAGAATTAGCTTTATTTGCTGCACCTTAGTTGGATGGGGCTCAGCCATCTTGATTGTTGGTTGGCCCGAGTCACATAACATAAATGGAGGGGCAGCGGTGCAAAGGTTTATCAGAAAGTTATCTCGTGAAACACCAAGTACAACCATCTGGAGCAGGGGACTAAAGCTCTTAAAACCATAATGCCATCACTTAACTATCAAATAGAATTTCAGTGAAAAGAAGGTAAAAAGGAGGACTTATATATTAGGCCTACTTGAATAAACATTTGAGTATCACAGGTGCCAGTCATACAACTTGCCTCTCTGTCAGTGCAGCGATTTAATAAATAGGACTAATTTGAGGTTCATGCTAACACCATCGATAATCACAGGCCTCTACAAGCAATATCATCCACCAAATCTTAAGACGCCACTCATTTCCTAGCACTTAAAAAAATCAATTGTTTTACCTGTGGTACGCCATCTTGTTCTCACGCAGCGTCTGCTCCGTGTCTGCACCGCCGTTGAAATAGCCGGCCGCGGCGATGCTTAGTTTCGAGCAGCCGAGACGTTCAATGTCGTCCACTGTTGCCACTAAGTCATCCGTCATGGCATGCTCGGCTGTGGTCATCTTACAATAAGTATTCTAGTTGCAAGGGACTTCTAGAGGACCCAATGCTCTGCAATAGATAAAGGCCAGCTGCTGTTTCGTCGAGCTGTGGAACACTGAATGCCTGAAACTCATGCGTTATTATTATTATTTTCAAGTTGAGTGGTTTATGTTAGTTAATAACTGACGGACAAGGCAGCTGAAAAACACGGTATATATCGCACTCCCAATTCCGAATTTTCTGTTCCTGAGAAGCACGTGTGGCAAGCATAAAGCAATGCGCCAGCTGCAAAAATATGGCACACTGCTGTGAATATCAGAGTGTCTTGTGGATGTCATGATGTATTTAGCCAGGGTGACGTCCAGAAAGAAGCGCTGTCCTCAGACAGCCGAAAGGAGCAACCACCTTGTGAGGATTCCTTCTCATTTTCTTAGAAGACTCTGCTCGGTTTCTTTTCTGCGAAACAAAATATCCTTATAAAGTGAAAGATCAGTGATACTAAGTACGTCTTGAGTGCACCTGTTTAAATAATTTTGACGCCAGATGAACCAGAAAAATAAATACAAACATTTCTTAGAAATGTATTAGTGGTTCTAAGTGGCTTTTATTACCACGTATTTTATATGGGAATCATAGAATAGATCATGATAGATATACTTCATGTGGCGTAACGCTGCGCCTCCGCCGAAGAGCCCAAGGAGGTTATAAATACTAGGAGGGGGCACGTCGAAATATTGGTGAAGCCTAGTCATAAATAGTTTAAACGAGGTTGTGGCCAATGTGACCGTAGATCTCTCTGGCGATTGGTGCGCGTGACATGTCACGTGCGAGGTGGATGGTTGATTGTAGAAGGATTCCTTGCAGGCTTGCGCGCGCTCCGTCCGGTAGGTTTTATCAGAACGAAGGCTAGCTACGGCAACGTGATGTGGTCATGTCGGGCTGATAAGTGAGGAGAGTAAGGAGGAAAATAAGAGTCTAGGCGTCAAGGGAGCATGGCTTGTGGAGGCTACAAGGTTGACGTCATACCCTCTCCTGCCCTTCTATACTCCTTGGAAGAGTCACAGTGTCGAAAACCGGCACGGCCTCCTGAGCCTCCCGGTTGGTGGCGCGCCCTGGGGACGGAGCGCGTCAACAACTCCGAGGTTAAGGACGCCGTCCTTTCATGAACGGTAGCGTGCGCCGGGTTAGATATCAGATCGGGCCGGAATAGCAGGCCCGACCCTACCGGGCCCGATAATGCCTTGGCCTGAAGCCGTCCCGAGCTCCACTGCCCTTTTCGGCATTAACTGAACGTGAACCCGGCCCTCATCACGCCGAACCAGACCCAAACCCGGCCCAAGCCCAACTGTGGTTTCTCTTAATCCTACCTCTGTTTTATGACTCCGTTTATATTGAACAAGATTGGCAAATTTCGGAAGTAAAACACATTTATTTCAAAGGTCCGCACAGCCATTTTGGTTACTCAGCCTGTTTCTAGAACGATGATGCGTGTTTTCAATGTTTTTTTTTTTTTTTCGCATTGATGCAAAGCAAGAAATAGAAATTGACGTTTTGGACCTTTTAAAGTATCGCATATTATGCCCGAAAATGAACAAAGTTGATTAATTCAATAATTATTTGATTAATTGGTAGGAAATAATCAAGTTATGTTTTTCACTTATCATTCAGCCCTTAACACGCTGGAACGGAGCATGAATAATTTAGCGAACAACACGCTTAAACAAAATGGTATGTACTTTCCCGCGGGACGCGTGGTGGGCTAGAGAAGACGGGGTAGGATAGAGCTCAGAATGGGACTATACTTGAAATGTGCGAGGTGCTCATAGAGAGACAATAGCGGTAAGCGTCATGGGGCTCATTTTCATCAGTTCAATACACACGTTGTATTTTTTAGGTGTAACCCCATCGTGAGCTTCGTCATTTGTTAAGTTCCTTCCGCAGTTCTAATTGCTTGACTGCATGCTCTGCAAGGAAGTGTGCGCATCGGCTTTTTTCAACCTACATGCCATGTGTAGTGAAGCGCAGTAATTGATGTTGATAACTGTGTCATAGACCAGTGGTTCTGAAACATTGATGTTTCAGGGATAGCTTGTGGATCGGCGGAAGTGATGAATCATCGGTGTGGCTAGAGGAAAAGGTCTGGGGTAATTATCTTTGCGAAGGGATGAAGGAATATTATATAGCTAAGTGCTCGTGTAAACTTCGATTCTCTCACTGACATATACGAAAAAAGTATAAAGTTTATTGCCAGGTTCATTGAGGAGCAATGCTTCCAAGATCTTAGAAATGCCTTCGCATTTGCCACGGCCTCCCATTTGATAAGCACTGACCTGAACCGTTGGCATTGTTTAGCGGGCTTTGTTTACAACTTAATGACCCGCGGCACAATATTCAGATTGACACTTTTTATGTTAAAACAAACTTTCCACACTTTGCTTGGTTTTGGAAAAAAAAAAAGAAATCAAAGACGTTTACAATTTTGTGTAATGCGAAATTAGAGCGCAGCTGCTGAGGAGGAGGAGGATGAGGTACGGAGGAGTGGGTATGCCCCTCCTCCCCTCTCATTTAGTGAGAAAACGTTTGCTAGATTTCCCGCTAAATTCAGCCAGAGATATAGCGAAAATTTTCTCGCTAGATTTAGCAGGAAATTTAGCGAAAATATTCCCACTAAATTTAGCGGGCTACGTCACGTGACCTCAAAACCAATTCAGCTTCTCCGGTAAGTTTAGTGGGGAAACTGTGACGTCTCATAATGCAACGCCCGCGGTCACGCCGACAGCGACGCCGCTCAACCCAGAAAAATGGGCGCATAAGAGCTTCACTCTTAAAAAGGGGTTTACCGAAATTTCGATATGTTTGGCTAAGTCGGATTGTCGGGCTTTGATGCCTCCAACTAGGCCCGACACGAGCCCGACGCAGTTTGGGATAAATCGACCGGAACCCGACCCGAACCAAAACAGTGCTCTCATGTATTGGCCCGAGCCCGCTCCGAGTGTCGGGTTGGGCTCGGGCTTTCGGCCTAGCACGGGCCCACGCAGACCTCTACCCCGCGCTACAACGGCGCGTCCTAATTAATTGTTTAATTAGGACGCGTAAACAAAATAACGTATATGAAATGTTCCTCTGCAAAGATTTTGCGTGTTCGGCTGTCTGAAAATCACCACGGAACGACAGTCTTCAGTGCCAGTAATGAATAGAATCTATATAAGAAGTATTTTTTGCTCCTCTTATGATCAGATACCTTTTCGCAGGCCGGGAGATCGAGCAGATGTGCTCGGTCAGGCGGCGATTGAGTAGATGTTTTTTGGAAGGGATTTTTGTTCTTAATTTCCAGGTCTCGTGTAAAAAAGGTTCGCGCGTAGTGTAGCCCCCAACGTCTTGTATGGCGCTCTGCTCAGTAAATCTGGAATTTAACAGAATCATAGCTGGTCTGTTAGACAGGTTTTCTGTGCCAGTCCGACTGTGTTCAATGCGAGATATAGGAGCAGCACCGTTGTGTCACTGTCTTGTCGCACGGTTTCGATGGGTTTCTTGTGGGCAGAGTTGCCATAGGCTCAGCGGGCTTAAAGCAGGGCTGGGTATAGGGAGATAAAAAATTTATCCCCTACTGCAAATACTCAGACGCACGTATTTTAAAGGCAAAATACAAAAAAACTAGTATACGTTTTGTATTTTATGTAACAGGATATTCCTCTCATATTTTCGGAAAAACGCGACAAACGTGTACCGGAATAAAGATACACATTCTTACAGAAATATTTTTTTTTGTTCACGAACTAGGTCGTGCTCTTTAAACACGCATAACGATGAGGTGAATCGCAAACAACGTCATACGTATCACAAATATTAAATATCGCACGAACTGGAAAATGTGTTTTCGCAAGCTTCACATATGTTTATTTGATACGCTACCAAATTTGTAAGCTTCAAAATTTAACTCCTTACAATTCAGCATGAGTAGATTTTCAAAGAGCTTATCATGACGGCATCAACGATTTGGTCGTGGTAACAAACTAGCGAAAGAAAAAAAAAACCTTCCTACAACCGCTGACCAACATAAATCCGCGTCAAAACAATTGAATACCCCTTGATTGAAGAAAAGACCTGAAGCATTGAGATGTCTTTCATGGGGTGGTCGAGGTAGCGAAAGATTTCCGCATGACATGAGCCCGTTCTCATCTTGCTAAAGGCGAGGAATCACTGATCAAACATTCGAACAAGAGGTGAGCTGACGATAATAAATTTCTAAAAAAAACAAAAACAACTAGAGTCTGAGGAAAAAAAAAAAGAAAAAAAGAAGAGGATACCGCACACAAATCGTATAATGTCCCATTTGCGTCTGTTTTCCTCAGTCTTGGGGTTTTTAAAAGACGAGAAATCCCCTTCTTTGCAGTCTCCAAAATGGGGACGTGGTCCCCACGAAATGAGACCTGTTTCGCCTTTTTTTTTGTTTTGGAACATTCCGATTTTCATCTTTGCCAGTAGATGAAAAGGAGAGGCTGATTGGCGAAATATATCCAGGGAAAAGGGGAAGGGGCGAAAAAAGAAATATTGCGCAAGGGAGCCGGATCCGCAGAATCTACTGGAAATGATAGAGCTGAGCAACACGAGTCACTCAACTGGCCAATCTTCGAGCAACTTTATTTTTACTTTTGGTGACTTTTTTATGCAATATTCAAAACGACTCCCCCATTCTCCCCTTTTTTAGAGAATGTTATGTGGTGGTTTTATTGAGTAAATTTTGTTACCCCTCGCACCAGCTAATTCTTCAGAAAACTATTATCAAGACACATAGGCCTGACAAAGTATCGCGATACAATCGATCCATCGTAAAAGTATTTCACTACTGAGATACTAATACATTTCCCAAATGTATCTCGACACTAAGACGCAGATACTCGAAAGTTACTCAAGATACTACAGCGGTGCATTTGTAACGCGCGACACTACCCAGCCATGGCTTAAAGGTGACCGCGCCGCAATTCGTTTCTCTATTGCAGGGGTGGCCAGGCTGACCCGG